TATAGGAGTCTCTGCATTAACCACTGTCAATTGTAAAAAGGAACTTCTCTGACCACGGTTGTGTCATCTAAGTGGAATCAGGTATGTGCTGGATAGCTTTAGTTGTCAACTTGAAACACCTGGGAAGAAGGAACCTCAACTGGGGAATTTCCTCTATTAGACTGGCCTGTGGACACAAACAACTGAAGCTATCCAGCACAAAAGACACATGTTGGCTCACAATTTGAGGGTACAGTTCACCACTGTGGAGAAGGGTCTGTAGCTGTGGCAGGAGGTTAGGCAGAAGGATTGTGAGGGAGCTGGTCATACCACATCCTCAGTGAAGAAGCAGAGAGAGATGAATGCTGGCGATCGGCTCGCTTTCTCCTTTTAATTCCGTTAAAATCGCCCACGGGATAGTGTCGTCCACATTCAAAGTGGATCTTTCCATCTCAGATTAAACCTCTCTGAAAATACCCTCACACACATGCCCAGAGGCATGTCTCCTAAGTCCCATTAGTTCGTAGTCAAGATTAACCATCACAATTCCCTAAACCTTTACGGAGAAAATTAAAAAACAATTTTAAGATTGGGGCTGGAAAGATGGCTCAGCAGTTAAGAGCACTGGCTGCTCCTACAGAAGACCCAGGTTTGATTTCTAGCAACCACCATTTGTAGCTCCAATTTCACGGGATCCAATGCCCTCTTCTGGCCTCCACAGGCATTGCACACACAGGTGCACTTACATGCACGCAGGCAAAACACTCATACACAAAATAAAAATAACAAAGAATTTTTAAAATAAACCGGTTATGATGGCATGAAAAGATGTGGAGGAGTCTAAGCCAAATGAAAAGGCTGTATTCAGCATGATTCCAACTTTATGACGTCCCAGAAAAAGCAAAGCTACAGTGAAGAAGAAGAGAGAGAGAGATTGTTATGGGTTAGTGGAGGGGGATAAATGGACGAAGCACAGAGGTGTCTTAGGCCTGTGAAACAATTCTCTAAAATGCTGTAATTGTAGATCCATGTTATGCATTTGTCAAAATCCACAGACTGTACATCAGGGATGCACCATAATGTGAACTACAGACTTTGCATGATGATGGAGCTCTATTAATTGTAATAACTATATTCAGTTATGTAAACTAAACTGAAATTTGCCAAGTTACTTTTATGACTTTAAAGCCTCTAATAAATTAAAATTATGCTCATAATTTTTCTGTTAGTTTTAAAAAAATATATTTTGTTGAATTTTTGTGTAATTCATACACAACATCTTAGCCCTCTTTATACCCCCTGCCCCATCGGCACCCTCCCATATCCCCCCCTCACACACTGAATTTCATGCATTCTGTTATTTATGTTAAGGCCTATAGAGTCAAGTTAGTGTCCCCTGACGTCCCTCAGTACAAGTTCATCTATTGGGGTCTAGTCAGCCTATCTAGAGCCACTCTCTTAAAGAGGAGCAGCTCTTCCTTGCCCAATAGTAATCAGGTGCCCAATAGTTCTTTAGCTAAGATTGGGGTCTGCTGCCCATCTCCCAGTTCTATGCTGGTTCTTGCCTGCTAGAGTTTGCATGGATCTTGTGCACGCTGTCACCATAGCTGTAAGTTCATATATATAATCATAATTTTGAAGACTCGTTCTTGAACCAGTATTCAGAAAGTTTTGTATGTGCTTCCTTGTGTCATTAAAATATTCTAGAAAGTACACACATGGACTATGGAAAGCTATCTTGTGAATTAGAAAAGGCCAAATCTAAGCTGTTGAGAGGTTTCTGGGAATAACCACATATTTATAAGCTTGTTGGCCTAACCATTTGCTGCCTTGGGCCTTTATAGAGCTGTGTTCTTGATGCAAGTGGCAGCTGTTCTGAAGATGAATCAGGCTCTGAAAACTTCTTTCACTCCCTGTGTACCAGCCGGGCTCCATGGTTTCTTCATGGCGCTGCAGTAAAGTGACAGCAGCCATAAAATTTTAAAATATTTTTAATAATTAAAACAACCAGTGAGGAGTGTGTGCAATTTGATTTTTTTTTCTGAGACAGTGTCTTATATAACCTGGGCTGGTCTCAAACTCATTTTGTAGCTGAGGATGCCCTGAACCTCTGATCTTTCTGCTTCCATCTCTTGAGTGCTGGGATTACATATGAACCACCCATGCCCAGTTTACTGTGGTGCTGGAGCTATTCATGAATACTATGCATTCTACCAAATGAGCTACACTCTCAGCCCTGATTTGGAATTTTTTACAAAGAAGGTTTGTAGGATCAGAGCTACATAATAGCATGTTTGTTCTTTGCAAATAGAGATTAGATTTAAGTGATACTTATGTTCTTAAATGTATATTTCATATTTCAAGAGCCTAAAAATATGAGGTGCAGCTGGAAAGGGGGTCACTCTTTGGCCCATCATGTAACCCACGTTCGTGTGGAACCTAACACCAAACCATTCACAGATGAACTGCTTCTAGAGAATTTTATTTTTAAAAAGAATAACTTAAAATACAGCTTTACCAATGTCAGCAATCAATCTGTGTTCTTTCCAAATCACACCCAGTTTTCTCTGTCCATGATACCAATCAGAGGTTCATTTATTTTGCCTTTAGCTAAGTAGCACTTGGAAAAGAAGAAACTCATTTTCTATCTTAGAAAACAATTCTGTCTTAAATTTTGTAACATTTAACAGGGGTGTGCATCTGTTGTTTGATGATATCATAACTTTGTTGATTGTTATAATTCATAAACAGAATTAAGGTACAAATTTTAAGCTGATGTTGGTATGGGCCTGGGGGAAAATGAAGAAAGTCTTGGTGTAATATTTTTATTTTTCTTTAATAACAAAAATACTGAGAATTCATGCGAAATTACAAACCAAGTTCTCATAGCAGCACTTAAATATCTGCATGCAATTTTCAATTAGAACTAGTTTGTAATGTCATGCAATTTACAATTCAGTTACTTAAGTGATCTAAATTTTTTATATTAACATTGTCAAGGAAACAATCTCTTGCTAATCGTGACTTAAACTTCATAGATTCATCAATATGCAAAAGCGGGCCTGGGGACATGAGGCCTTTGTTTTATTTGTTTAAGATTATTTAAGGATATTTCTGGGTACTTAACACATTTTTTTAATGTTTCACTCTCCTATGACTTTAAGGTATTCTTTACTGTAAAGAAATCTTACTCGAAAACTCACTTCTAGCTTTTTGGTTTGTTGTTTTGTTTTCTGGTATAAAAGAGTACAGCAGAACACTGAAGCTTTTTACTTCAACCCCACGGCGCCAATTTTGCCACTAAACAAACCAGTTATTCTTGGAAGTGCGCGTTCTGGCACGGCCCGGCCTTTTCGGTCCCCGCGGGCTGCCGTAGTCCAGGAAGGTTCTGATTGGCTGGGGCGAGAAAGCGCCGCTCGCTACCGTTTCGGTTTTCTCCGCGTTTGTCCGCGGAGGCCCGGCCCGTGCGGCTCCTGCAGCGAGTGCTCCGGAAATCCGTCGCGAGGTGAGCACGCGTCCACGCAGCCCGGGGTTCGAGGCCCTGGGCCCGCGGCGGCCTCTGCGAGCCGCCCTGGAAAGGGCCCAGCGGGAGCGGGCGGCACCGGGAGGGAGCGAGCCTGGGCCGTGCCGCTGCGGCCCGGAGGTCCCGGAACCCGGCTCCTCGGCTGCCGGGGCCGGCGCCGACCTCGGCTTGGCGGGAAAACGGACGCCGAGTGGGGCCGGGCCCTGCGGGACGGCGCTCTCCGGAACCCAGGAGTGCTAGCGGGGCCCGCTCGTCCCAGCCCGTGGTCACGGCGGTGCCCGGGGCTGCACCGCCCGGTCCCACCCGGGGGTTCGGGCTGCCTGGCCCCACCCGGGGCTGCACGCGCGCATTCGGCTAGTTTGTGTTGGCTTCCGCGTTAGGATGTGCGTGGATTGGTGTCATTCCACCCCGTCATGCATGCCTCCTCTAGAAAGACCGTAGACACAGATCACCTTAGTGAAGACTTCCTCTTGCATGTGCCAGTTTCTGCTCCGCCAGTTTCTTAAACCAGTTACCAATAATATTACTTTTCATTTTATTTAAAAGGTGTTCCTAGGTATCGTTTTTTCCCTTTTGGTTGGCTCCCTACCTCCCGTTAGTTACCGGCCGTTTCCCTGAGTCTGACACCTTTGTTTGGGTGGTTGAGTTTCTGGCTCGTTTAGCCTCCTGTGTAATACTGATACACTTTCCACGCCCCAGCTGATTCAGACTGTTACCTTGGATTCATTCTCAGAAGAGAAATTATGAGATTAGATGGTCTGATAAAGGCCACTTAAGGTTCTTACACATTACCAGATTGATTCTTTAAAGTTTTAGTAATCTTTCATGTGTGACACTGCTGTTTCACCCAAACTATGGAAGCTTCTAATGTGTTCCTAACTGTAACAAAGCACAGCTTCTCTTCAGAGCCTTTCCTGTTGAGGGGAAGGCTTTGTTTTATTTTTGAAAACCTTCACTGTGTAGCCCAGGCTGGCCTTGAGCCTCCATCCTTTCCAGTGTGTGCGTGCGTGCGTGCCTGCGTGAGTTACAGCTCAGGCTGAGTGCTAGAGCAGGAAGATGATGTCAGTAGTCATCCAGCCTAACTCCCTTATTTTGCAGATGAGGAGCCTGGGGCCATGAGAGGTGAAATGATGGGTTTCCTAAACTGCACAGCTAATTAAGTAGCAGAGCTGGGATTAGAACTCAGCTTTCCTGCCTCCCAAGTGAGTACCCTTGTCTACTGCATCAGTCTTCTCTCACTGAGGGTGGCCTACTAAATACTATAATCTTATCCTGTCTTTTTAGAAGCTGAAGGACCGTTACACTGAAAAATAGAAAGGGGATCTTTTTGAGTCCACGATTAGAAATTCATTATTTAGAATGGAAGCCCCTTCAAGATTTTGATGGTTGTTTTCAGAGTCTATATGTTGGAATAAAATATTCCTAATTAGTATTATGGTGGTCCTCAGCATTTGAGAGGATTGGTTCTAGACTTCCCCATATCAAAATCCATAGATGCTTAAATGTTATATTTGCATATAACCTATGCACATCTTCCCATATACGTTAAATCACCTCTAGATTACTTACTGTATATATTACAATATATGTGCTTGTGATACAGTATTGTTTAGGGAATAGTGACATGGGGGGAAAGTCTAATGATGTCTGTAACAGATGAAACTATCATAGATGCAATTGGAACTTTTTTTTTTTAACCAGGTCTGAGCTGAAGCTGATTGGATCCACAAATTCAAACCCCACAGATATGGAGAGCTGACTAATTTGTGTACTCCATCATCTAGCTCTCATTTGCTAAGCCTTGATTTTTCCAAAATTCCTGGTTGTTTTAAGACCAGAAGACAGTGTCTTAGGTGGTGGTGATGGTGGTAGTTGGGTTTCTAGGCAGGGTTTCTGAACCTTTGTTGGCATTTGGGCCAACATAACCTTTTGTTGTATAGGGCTGTCCTCTGTGTTGTAGGATGCTGAGCAGTATCCCTGGTCTCTGTTACTAGATTCCAGTGTGCACCCCCCAACCCCGTACCTTGACAACGTCTGCAGACATTTCCAAGTGTCCCTAAGGATGAGGCACAAGATTCACCTCATGTTGAGAACCACTTGCTTTTAGGAATTACCTAGGGAACTATACAAACTAAACAATGTCTCTTGCCTGATTAAGCTTCAGAAATCTACATTTTAACGTCTTTGTAGTCCTGGATGCCTCATTTTCTTAACACAGACATTTTCTATTTTCCTTTCTCTTTCTGTTATTTGATGATTACTAACAGCAGGGTTAGCAGCTGTTGAAGCACATGCATGATACTCTGTTAGTTGTACCTGGAGTTCAGCTCAGTGGGGAAAGTGAGGGACAGGTGTTTTGATTGATACTAGCTTTGAAAATCTTTTCCACAGACTTGGTCACTCACGTACTGGGGCTACCAGATAAGAGGTCTTTCGTGTCCCCAAACATCTTAAAGCGTCTGTGGGAGACTGAATCCAACATCCTGGCACATGATGGGTGAATAAAATTTGGTTCCCCCCGCCCCTTAACTAATATTTTACTTTAAAAAAAAAATCACTGCAGGGCAGTTTGCACATGTTCTCATAGCTTCTGACAGGAAATATACTGCCTTGACTTAATAGCCACTTATGAAAATAGGTCATTTAAAACAAGCCTGAATAGGCGTCAAAGGAGGGACCAGAGTCATGGAGAGTGATTATACTTTAATTTCAAAGGAAGAAGTTTTACCAAGGTGACCCTGGCAAAAAGGAAATCTTTTTCTCATGTTTATGGTTCAAGAGTCTTATCTCTTGCTTCAGAAATTGTCAAAACTGTTCTTTCTGCCTTATCCAATTTAAAAGATGAAAACTTAAATTACTTGAGCCAAGTGATGAGAAAAATTGTGGTGTCAAGAACAATTTACTCATACAAAATGGATTTATGGACAAGTCATTAAGTGACAGGGAGTACTGGGGAAGCCTAATGAGGACTAACAAAGGATACGGCTTCCTGAAATGATGGATAAAATGCACTCGAGGCAACCACGTTCTTCCCAAATAACTTCAGAAGACTCTTTCAGACGGTCTAGCAGAATGTAGATATTCTCAAGAACAAATGAGGGGCTTGCTTTTAGCTCCTTCTTCCGTGTGACTTTGTCTTTTGAGGGAGAAAAGGCCTGGCTTAAAAAATTAAAGAATACAGACCATAGATAGTGCCACGTATGAAATACAAATGTCCAAGCATAGGGTTTCAGAACTCAGGAAGCCTGTCTCCTCTGCCTCCTGAAAGACGAAGCAGAACCCAAGCAAGTTTCTGCTTAAAACCTGACAACAGTGTTCCCAAACTTGCCAGTGCATGGGAATCTCCTGGGATTGTGCAGATTCCTGGACCCCACGCCAAACCTGCCAAATAGACTCTCTTAGTGACCCCAGTGATTCACGTTAGGGAAACTGACCCCAAGGCTCAAGTTTGTTTCCCAAGAATGAATGCAGCACTTTGTGTTCTACAGCTGTGTCCACTCTGCCTTGTAGATTTACCTTCAAACCCAGAACATCCAGTGCCTCTGCTGAGACTTCTCTTTCCAGCTCAAGTGCTGAGAAGATGTGTGCCGTGTCTGAGTCTTCACTGTTCTCTGTATTGAATTCTACCTGAATGTGTGCTGTGTTTGTGAAATTTACCGTTTCTGTGTTTTGCTCTTTCGAAGTACAGACTCCAAGGGCCCAAGGCCATGTCTTACCTGCTAGCCTTAGCCTGTGTCTGATGCTTAGTAGTACTCCATGAGTTCTCAGGTTTTTCCTTCAGGAAGAGGTTAATGTTAATTGGAATAAAGATGAGGTGTAATGAAGGTGTTATCATCATCGTCAAAAGCAAAGACATCATGTAGAAGATATGTCTTTGCTTTTTAAAAGGCACAAAAGGGTAGTATTAATAATAGTTTGTATGGGTTTGCATTTCTTTCTATCACTAACCTTTAACTCTTGATTTTTGGGGTTTTTTTGTTCAAAATTTTTTCATCCTAAAGTATAAATACTGTTAGGAATAGGTGAAATTAATAATCCCCACATTTACCTGGTAAACCGGGTTTTCACAAAATGCATTTTTGTGGGTGTGTGGGTAGATGTATGTATATATGCCTGTATAAGGAGGCCAGAGCTTAGCTTAAAGAACATCTTCCTCTATTGCTGCCCATGGAGTCACGCACTGAACCCAATCATTTTGGCCAGACCTGCTGAGCAGCAAGCCCCTAAGACCCACCTGTCTTTTCTCACTCCCTACCCCCTCAGCACCGGGGTTTTACATGCACTGTGCCCAGCTTTTACATGGGTGCTGGGAATCTAAACTCAGGTCTTCATGTTTACACAGCAAGCACTTTACCCACCAAGCCATCTTTCAGCCTCTGGTGGAGATTTAAATTTTTTTTTTTAATTTTATATGCATTAGTGTTTTGCTTGCATATGTGTAAGTGCACCTATGTTGTGCAATGCCTGTGGAGGCCAGAAGAGGGCATCAGATCCTCTGGAACTGGAGTTAAGGACGGTTGTTAGCAGCCATGTGGGTCCTCTGAAAGAGCAGCTGGTGCTCCCACTGCTGGACCCATCTCTCCAGCCCCTGGCAGGGTTTAAAATGCAGGAATAGATGCTCTTATTTCAGATTGTACGTGAAGGAGCTGGCGTCATAGGATTTGGCATGTGTGAGAGGGAGCGATCCTGACACCCTACCAGCTCTTAGTTAAGTCTCTCTAGAAGTGTTCAGCTACAGAACAGTGAATGTGCAAGGCATAAATAATGTGGTTTATAGATGAATGAGATTTGTTTGTTTTTACTAAACTCATTAAAGGTACTGAATTTGTTACAGTGTTTGCCATTTTTCTCTTTAAACTCAGAACAGCATTCCTCTCAAATAAAATTGCTGTGTGGCTTGAGTCTCGGATAAATAGTTATAATTTTAGCTGTCTATTAAGATTCAGGCTAAGAAAAATGAGCTGGCAGTTTAGTGAAAAAGTTAAAATTTGTTGAGCAAAATAATCCGTTGATTTTTTTTTTTTAATCTTTTAAGCCTTGGGGGTGGCAGCTGCGCATGGTCCAAATGGTACTTTCTGAAATTTATAATCTTGACCCTTGCTTAAAGAGAATTATTTTCTAAGGTCAAAATGAGAAATGGCATATGAGAAATTGACATGTTCCTTGTTTTGTTTGGGTTTGGGTTTTGCTATTTTGAGACAGAGTTTCTCTGTAGCCCCAGCTGGCCTGGTACTCACTCTGTAGACCAGGCTGGCCTCCATCTCACAGAGCTCTGCCTGCCTGTGCTTCCCATGTGTTAGGATTAAAGGTGTGCACCACCACGCTAGGCTATGACATGTTTTTTAATTTCCTTGCACAGCGTGTGCATGTACACATTTGTTAAATAAAAAAAAATGTAGCATTCCAGCTTATCCAAACTGCTAATCCTGCCTGGATTAATATGGAGAATAAACATCTTCAAATAATGATCCTAATTAGAATTCAGATCATTGGGTGGATATACGTGGAGTGCTGTCTATAGAAGAATGTTCAATGATTGTTTTGACCAAAACAAACAAAAAAACCTCTGTACTAATGTTTAAGTCTCAGTGATGTATAGCAACTGAATTTCATTTGGAAAACTAATTTCCAAAGTCTCTTTGCTCTTTATGCTTACGTGACTAGTGTTTTCATTTACTGAAATATTTTAGAGAGGTAGCTGTCATATAACAAGATAAAGTTTGAAAAAGCAGCGATGGCCAATTCTGTGTCTGGTACAGCTAATTTGGGGGTGTAATGCTTTCTCTTTCTATGTTTTAGACTCATACTTGAAGTTTTAAACACACATCTGCTGCAATCATAGTCCAGCAATTAAAACTCTTCAGCTGCATTTGCAACTTTGAGAAGGCTGTTCAAAGCTGCCATTGAGAGCATGGCGGACTGCTACCATAGGTGGCTTTGAGCAGAGGGCTCAACTTCTTGTGCCTGTTTCTTCACCTATAAAACAAGCATTAAAAACAGTACCTTATCAGAGCTGGGATGATGGGTCAGCAGAAAAGTGCTTGCCCATCAAGCAGAAGGACCTCAAATCCCTTTCACCCATCAGCATGGGTCTGAAATCTTAACACTGGAGGGCCAAGCAGTGAGAGACCCTTCTCAAAAAATTAAGGTAAAGAGCAAGTGAGGAAGACACATCAACCTCTGGTCTCCACACTGACATGCATGCTCAACACGCTCACGCAAACATGTACACACAGACATACGTCTGCCTCATTGGATAGCGAGGCTTAAATGAATTAATATATGTGATATATGACGTGCTTAGAAAAGTGCTGTCATATAATGTGTTCAATTATTAGTTTTCAGTTATTTGTAGACAAGTGTTTAGGTGTCGGTTGTTCATGAATGTGCCTAGTTTGTAAAGTGGATTTTAAAGTAAGAGTGATTGAACTTAAACATTGTGGTTTCACCATAATTGGGTGCAAATTTAATCTTCCCATTCCTTTATTTTCATCAGCAAAATGGTAGTATTGTGACTTCTCCCCAGGGCACTTGTGAAGATTAAATGTTATTAGACTCTTTAGAGAAGATGTCAGTAGACTCTTTAGCATAAGACAGGTGTTCATTAGCTAGTTGAGGTGGTAGTGGCCGTAATGGGTGTCCTGCCTGTGTGACACAGCAGGAAAAATGATTAAGAGTGGCTGCTCTATAAGCGGAGCTCTGTCAATGAGGTTGTGCCATAGGCTGTTGTGGGAACATGGTGAGATAATGCATGTGGAACATGCAGTAAGAAGTGACAGCGTGTTAGCTGTCAGGTACAGCAGAAATAATGACCTTGAGTCTTCATGCCCAGCCCTTTGACAGCTGATTTCCTACAAATACATTAAGGGCCCAAGGTTTTTTCTTTTTGGTGAATAATTAGCTTTTGTCTTTATACTTTTCCCTTTCCTATTTCTGACCAGGACTGTTAAGATGAGTCTGCGGAAGCAAACCCCTAGTGACTTCTTAAAGCAAATCATCGGACGACCAGTTGTGGTAAAATTAAATTCTGGTGTGGATTATCGAGGTAATGTTTTCATGTTTCATCCTAGATATAACTAAAATAAAAAAGAATGACTTGCTGATTTTTATTAGCCTCTTAATGTACCTAGTAGACCAAAACCATGCTTACCCAGAGATTTATGTCCTTTTCCTCTGAGGCGGTTCCTTTTAGAGTGATAGTTCTGGTAGCAGTGTGTGCTTCTGACTTGCACTATTTCTGTGAATTCTGTCTCTGTCTCTGTCCTGAAATTCTGTCTGCCTAGGTTCCCTAGTAATAGCCGGGAGTCCTGGTCAGCTCCGGAATGAACTACATACCACCAAAGGACACCTTGTTTCAGCAGCTTTTGTTTCTGAAGCAGAAGTGTTCAGGGTTGGCAAGCAGCTATTCAGACACTATCATTTTACAGCATGACCTTTCCAGTCATAAGTGGGTTATCCAAAGATGCCGTTCTGTTATATAGAGAATGCTTTCTTTAAAAAAAAAAAAAAAAAAAAAATTTTTTTTTTTTTTTTTTTATAAAAAATTTTTTTTTTAAAAAAAAAATTTTTTATAAAAAAAAAAAAAAAAAAATTTTTTTTTTTTTTTTTTTATAAAAAATTTTTTTTTTAAAAAAAAAATTTTTTATAAAAAAAAAAAAAAAAAAATTTTTTTTTTTTTTTTTTTATAAAAAATTTTTTTTTTAAAAAAAAAATTTTTTATAAAAAAAAAAAAAAAAAAATTTTTTTTTTTTTTTTTTTATAAAAAATTTTTTTTTTAAAAAAAAAATTTTTTATAAAAAAAAAAAAAAAAAAAACAGTTACTTTTTTTATTTTATGTGTATGAGTATATTGCCTGCATGTATTCTGCCCATGGAGGTCAGAAGAAGGCATTGGATCCCTGGAACTGGAATTACAGACGGTTGTTAGTCACCATATGGGTGCTGAGAACCGAACTCGGGTCCTCTGTAAGAGCAGCCAGTGCTCTTAACCACTGAGCCATCTCTCCAGCCCCTACAGAGTACGTTTTTGTTTTTTTTTTTAATTTGTTTTTATTGAATTTTTGTGTATTCCATACAGAGCATCTCAGTCTATCTTAATCATCTTTATACCCCCGTCCCCACTGGCACCCCCCCCCACACACACACACTGGAATTCACACATCCTGTCATGTGTGTTAAGGTCTGTTGTGTCAAGTTGCTGTCCCCAGATGTCCCTCAGTTCAGGTTCGTCTACTGAGACTAGTCAGCCTATCTAGAATCGCTTCTGATCCTCTGCACCCAGACCAGCTCAATCCTTCAGTCTGGTTACTTGGAGAATACTCTTAAGGAGCTCTGAGTGCTAGGTGTAGATGCATGTGCTTATAACCCTAGCACTTGGGAAGAAGGAGGAGGTTAAGGAGTTTGAGGCCAGCCTCAGCTACATAGTGAATTTGAGGCAAGCCTGGACTCTCTGACACCATTTTAAAACTAAACAAAATTAAAAACCCAAAAAGGTATTGAAAACAAGTGAGAGCGAGGAGGACCCTCTAAAGGTCAAGTTTGGCGTGCTGTAGGCCTGGGGTGTGACCGAGTGCTCGCCCAGCACAAAGCCTTGGGTTTGATTCCCAGCAGCTCAACAATCTCTGAAATAGCAATGTGGAGGAATAGTATCAAATTCTTTTTTTTTTTTAAATTACTAGATCTAAGCTGGGCGTGGTGGCACACGCATGTAGTCCCAGCACTTGGGAGGCAGAGGCAGGTAGATCTCTGAGTTCAAGGCCAGCCTGGTCTACATAGTGAGTTCCACGACAGCTGGGGCTACAGGGAGACCCTGCTTCAAAAAGACAAAAAATCACTAGATCTTTATCCTTCTAAAAGATATGTTAAATTACCTAGATTATTTCACGGATAGGGATAATTAATTCATTAGCAAAGTTCTGTAGGTTTTCATAGCTTTTCTAAATAATTGACAGTAATAATCTCTTGAGCTTTTTCACTCTTTCCACACATGTGCACATATATGGAGTGCGTACTACCCATCACTTCGGTACATTTTCATTTGTTTGCAAATCTTTGGGATCTATTGTATGTCCCACCTCGGAAGTGAGGAGCTAGGGCTCAAATCCAGGCTTGACTGAGAAGACTTGTGAAGAAATCACTGAAATCCCAGCATTTAGGACGTAGCAACAGGAGGGTCAGTTCAGTCCCAGCATGTCTGTGGCCCTTGGTTTCACCCCCAGCAGTGAGGGGAAGAAAAGTGTCGCTCGTTTAGTTATTGACATTAATAAGAACGCTTTACTTGTTTGCTTTCTGAGGCAGAGTCATGATGGTTACCCTCAAGCATGTTGTCTTCCTGCCTTGGTTCCCTTCCTCCTCCAATGTTACAATTATAGTCTGTGCTGCCTTGTCCTGTTTCCACTCATGAACTTTGGACGAGCCCTAAGTGTGGCATTATTAAGCCACATTACAGTTATGCCTGGATAAAGGAACAGCCTGGCTGTGAGCGTTTAGTTTTAAGGCCAAGAGTAGACCTGAACTCTAGAGCCACTCGCTCCTTCAGATGTCTCGTGCAGCTGTACTCTCAAGCCAGACTTCACCTGTGCTTGTATTGACGCAGTCTTTCCAGCAGCGATTTGGGAGGTAGATAGAAGCTAGGATTCACTCTTATCAGGGAATCTTGCCCCTTGATCCCTAGGCCCAAACTATCTCATATACACAGTATCAAGCAAGTTTCTCAGCTATTCTCACTGCTCTCAGTGAGAGTTCAGCACTGTGATGTGTCAAACAAGCACACCTGCACTCATTTACTATCTGGGGTGGAGGGCAAATTCAGTTCCTGAGGGATCAAGGTCATATGCCCAAGTCACAAGAACACATGGTTCAGTAAGTTTGATAAACAGTAGCTTTTGGGCACAAGGTTAAGGAAATGTCACGAGTTCATACTTTGTCCATATTATAAAAGTCATTCTTACACTAAGGAGGGCGATAATAGACTTGTAGGGATTTCAATATATTAATAGCTGATTAAGGTAGACACACGGTGTTACTGTGTTAAGTATTCTCTCAGCACTCATTTGTTTGTTAGATTGTTTTTTTTGTTGTTTGTTTTGTGTGTGTGTGTGCTGATTAAGGTAGACACACGGTGTTACTGTGTTAAGTATTCTCTCAGCACTCGTTTGTTAGATTGTTTTTTTGTTGTTTGTTTTGTGTGTGTGTGCATGTGTGTGTGTGTGCACTCTGAAGATTGAACCCAGGGCCTTGTGCATACCAGGCAAGCACTCTACCACTGAGCCATGTCCACCCCAGCCCAGCAGGACCCACTTTTTTTCAGAGGTCGACTGTTTTAGCTTTTTGGTCTCTTCTTTAGGGAAGACACTTCTATTTATGAAATTAATGGGTGATTTAGGGTGTTTGTTTTTAAGAAATTTAAAGGAAATACCGGAAAGCTTATGGGAAGAAGGATGATTTCCCTCGGGTTTACTGTGTAGTGATACCTTTCCAATTTTGACTCTGCTGTACTTTACAGAGAAGAAATCAGTCGTGTATGCAACCTGATATTTTTATTACACTAAGCAATACACTTAATTCCGTGACAGATTATAGAGGTTTAATGGGTATGTAGGAATCCTTGTGTAGTGCCATAGTTTTCTTTGTAAGAATTTTTTATGAAGGTATACATCAGTGTTTACTAGGTTTTGCTGTTACAAACAACTGTTAAGAGCAGGGGTTTTGTTGTCTTTACCTCATGTATTTAAACACCTATCTAGAGGGCCGGCCCCCAGAGCGAGTGTTTCTGGGTGTGTCAGTTGGTCCTTTAAGTCCTGGATTTCGCCTCCTTGTCCACAAATCCTTTTTACTACCTGTTGCTTATCTTTTCCAATCTAATTGCCATTGAATAATACCTCATTTTATGTATAATTTCTTTGTTTCTTAACGAGGTTGAACATTTTTTTCATAAGGTAGGAACCACAATTTTTCTCCTTCAATGAGGGAGAAATGGTATCTGTACTATTAAGACAAAATGCTTTAAATTATCCTTACTGAAGAATGGACTTATTTTGTGGTTAAATAATTGAAAAAGTAATAAGGAGCTCTCTGTGACAGTTTAACTTTGAAGAAAATACCTGTTTTTGTTGTTTATCTTCTCCCTCTTGGAGAAAGGAGTTGTAACTCTAACCTCCTGTGCAGATTTCTATTTCTTAGTTTGTTTTCACAGTACTGGTGATTGAACCCAGGGCCTCATGTGTGCTAGGCAGATGCCGAACTGCTGAGGTACATTCCCCAGCTCCTCTCTTTTTCGATCAGTAGTCTTTGGAAATAACCCTTGTGACTTATTTTCACACATTTGTACATCAATCCTAGAAGTGTCTTATGAATGTGGTTTAAATGTAAGGTATAGCAGGAACAAGCTGGAAAGTCGTGTCTTAAGCTTTCTTTGCCTAGGAAATAATTGTCCTTAGTAGTTTACAGTCCAATATGATTCTTTGAAAGTTTACAGCTTCTCATAGAATTCTGCTAGGTTAATGTCTTGTGCTGTGATCTCACACACACAATATTGAAAAGAAGCTTTTGTTGAGAGAATAATGGGCCCAGAAGCAGAGAGTGAGGAGCATAGCAATGACGTGAAGCATTGATTCCGTTAATTGAATCAAACTTGTAGCATGTTTTTGTTTTTCTTTAAAATATACCTCTTAAGTTAGAGACAGGGAGTTACAGGCTTACAGATTTCATCTTTGAAAATAAAAATCATCTGGCCATATTTTTCAAACTTTGTAAAGTCTTAACACAATTTAAATGATTCATTCGAACTGTTTCCTTGAAAGCTCCCTAGAATGTTTTTAGCCATTTTTCTCTATTAGTTTTGATTTTAAAGTATTATAACTGTAACAAAACAGAATGGGATGTGTTATAATGCAATATGTTGCTCTGTATTCTCAAGCTGCTCTTCACTGTGAGTCACAGCTTAGAGATATTCTTTCAGGAGCACCTGCTGTCTCCGCTTCCATTATTTTAACAGATTGTGGAGACTTCCTCTTAACCCTGTAGTACATTCATCTGCTGCCATAGATGTTGTGAAAGAGTGAAATGAATCTGCCAGGTTCGTATTTCACTTAGTGGTAAAGTAACAAATGTCACTGGAATGGAGGGTCATTTGCCCGTGCATAATCGCCGCTTCTGTCTGACTTCCAAAGAATGGCATTCTGGTTGGAAAATTATTCTTTTTGGTCTTTCTTTTTTCGGTCTTTTTTGAGACAGGGTCTCCCTGTAGCCCCAACTGGCCTGGATGTATACCAGGCTGGTCTGGAACTCACAGAGATCCGCCTGCTTCTGTCTCCCAAGTACTTGGACTAAAGGCATGCACCACCACGCCCGGCAAAATATTCTTATACTTTTGTGAAGGCTTTAAAAGTTGCTGTGGTGATCACATATACCAGGAGAGAACTGACGGTGTGGTGCCTGTCTTGGAGTGGTGGGCGCACGAGTCCTCTCATCCTCTGCGCGTCCTAGCCTTTGATCAGACTGGCAAAGTAAAGTCCTTTCGTGTTTGAGTCTGTTGAGTTTTGTTTACAGTGTGAATTTTTATATTATGCGTCCGAGGGCTAATGAATAAAGCCATTGTCAGTTCTAAGATATACCCTGTAATCTTCATTCCTTTCTTTATGTATCTTGTTTCTGGCCACATCTTCTCCAGGGGTCCTGGCCTGCTTGGATGGCTACATGAACATAGCCCTGGAGCAGACAGAAGAGTATGTGAATGGCCAGCTGAAGAACAAGTATGGGGACGCCTTCATTCGAGGAAACAACGGTAATGGTTCTCCACTCCAGATACGTGCAGCAGTAACAATAGGCCTTTTTTAAATGATTGGGAATGCTAGAGGATTTTTGAGATATTGTAAAAGTTCCATTGTACATTATTTTTAATTTTTAAGTACTTGTATCTTGGGTCTTCAGTATAAACAAGTTCTGTTTTTAAGTGGAAATAGAATTTTCCATGGAATTTTGGAACTAGATATTCTCTTCACTGCTTTTTTGACAAAGAACTGAGGGACATTGATTTACTGACCCAGAACCCTAGTCTCTTAAGAATCTTTTATTATGTTCCTAGTACAGTTTGGAAATTAGAGAATGGAAGCCATTCCCCTGCCATCTTTGGACTCCTTGACACTTAGCTGGTCCTTCATCCTTTTTCCTGTTAAACATTCTGGTACTCTTTATGGAGCTTTGTGCTTTTTAATTTGGCAAAAATGACAAAATGGGAACTATGGTTCTGAAGTTCTCCAGCTTTTTAACAGCTAATATACTGTCCTGAGTATTGGGGTTATTTTTAAGTAACGTTATTTCAAAGCACAAATTGTGAATAAAATAGTATTTGAATATTTTTGAGGAAGGGGGAAATACCAAAATTAATAGGAATTAACCCTTGGCTAATTCCCACTTTTTAGTCCTATCCCCAAGTGGAGTTTGGGGATTCTTGAGTTTAGGTTTTCAATTGATTTCTTTACTTCCAAGTAAGGGGCATCTTCAACAGCCTTTAACAGCTGGATCTCACTGTCAAGCATTAAACATCCTGACATTTATATGCATGTCTTGATTGCTTTTCACTAGAATTTCTTCTGCTTTTTGTGTTTTTCTTCCTTGACTTCCCCTTTTCTGGAAAATGTTATAATCCTCTCTCACCTCAGAACAGCTGCCAGCAGCTGCCCACAGCAGGTGATGGGGCGGTCGGTGCTCTGCGTACGCCTTCTACCTCCAACCTGTCCAGTTTCCCTGGCGGTGGTTTCACTGGCGGTGATTTCACTCACGTCCTGACGGTCCCCTGCAGAGAACCTTCCTGTGTTGTACTCAGTGACAGTTAGCCCAATTACTCCCACACTCACATTTGGCTCTTAAAAAGGATCCTGGCTTACTTGATTAATCTTGATGACAGCTTGACCAATTGCTCCATTCACCTTATGTCCGTGCATTGCATGCCCTACTGTGCTTGGTGAGGGAGTCGTGGTACGACAAGCTGAGTGAGACCTTGGTGAGAGCAAACAGTATTAATAAGGACTTTGCTAATTTTAAAAAATCTTCTCAATTTTATTTCTCTTGTAGAAATTTTTAAAAAGTAAACAGCAAGTTTATAATTTATACAAGGGAGATGGATGGAAATGTGCTATTTATTTTTCTTAAAGATTTATTTATTTTTAAATGTGTGAGTGTTTTGCCTGCGTATATGTATGAGCACCATATATGTTCCTGGTGTCCCTGAGGCCAGAAGAGGGCATTGGATCATCTGAAACTAGAGTTAACAGACAATTGTAAGCCACTGTGGGTGCTAGTAACTAAAACTGGGCTCTCTTCAATAGCATCCAGTGCTCTTAACCACTGAGCCCCATCTGCCATTTATTCTTAGCCTAAGATCTAACCTGGATTTATTCTTAATCTAATATCTACCCTGGAAGATTTACTTAACTCAAAGCTTAATTGTGCTGTAGTTAATTAGAAAGCATTCTTAGATTCTAGGCTTTTTGAATTCCTGGTCATAATTTGTAAAATCAGTAACATGTGCAGATAAGACTCGATGCAATTATGTAAAATACCAAAACCAGGTTAAATGCATCAAACCAATTGTAGGGTAACCTTTCAGTGCGTGCTTTGAGAACCCTTCCTTAGTGACAGTTTGTTTGTCTTTTCAGTGCTGTACATAAGTACTCAGAAGAGACGGATGTGAAGACACCACAGATGCGGTTCTTTTCGTAGCTGGATGTCTCCTTTATGCTTTTCTGCTTTTTGGTTCTCCTGTGATATAAGTCGGCCTGTTTTCATGGTGGCTGGTGATTGCTTTTTTCATTGACATGTGAATAAGATAAAGATGTTAAAATATGGATTGAATTGTAAAGACTTTTCACATTTATGTTTCGTTTTCTTTTATTTCTGTCTGTACAGAATGCTAAAAGAGTAAAAAAGAATCTATTCCTGACTTCAAGATTAACTTAAGAGTCAAGCAGTGTCATTCATTTGATGTGTTTCCTTATTCAGCTGACTAAGTGGTGCATATGTGAACATGTAGTTGGGACATTCTGGAGGTGTGATGCTCTGTTGTCCCCTCTACTCATCGTCTGCACACCACTTGAAATAGTTCTGTGAAAATGTTCTATAAAGACATAAAGTCTCGGTTTGAGGCTATAGAAAGGGACCAAGAGGTCAGAAGTTCAGCTGTTGATTCAGTCACCTAGATAGAAAATAGAATTCGGAATCTAATGGTGGCAGTTCCATAAAGAAGCGTGAATCTCAGTTGATTGATGGAGAAATTCTAAAGGTTAACCATATTAAGTTAGGCAGTTACATGAAAACCTTTCTGTCAGCAGCTACCCTGCAATTCGTCCTGTGCAGTTAGACTTCCTATATATTTTTTCAAATATTTTATTTATTTTTTTTTATGTGTATGAGTATTATGCCTGCATGTAAGTGCACCATGTCATACAGTGCCCGTGGAGGACAGAAAAGGCTGTTGGATCCCCTGGAACTGGAGTTACAGGCAGTTGTTAGCTGCCATTGGGTGCTGGGGTTGAACCCGGGTCTTCTGCAAGAACAGTCAGTGTTCTTAACTGCTGAGCCATCTCTCCAGCCCCAACTTAATGTATTTTTTTGTCCCTTTCAGAAGCATTGGCATCAGTGTTAATCTTGGTTTGTCTACACAGGGGAGGAGGAGCTATTCCTGTGCAACTCTGGCAGTGGCTGAGATTAGAGCAAATCCCAAAGTGTATAAACTCACACAGGTTCCATTGCTAAGCTGTGACTGGGAAAGAATGCCTCCTACCTCTTGAGTAGCAAGTGGCCATGGGAATAAGGTGTGTTCTGGTGAGATGTCCAGGGGAGGAGCATCAGGCTTTCAGATTGCTTGGCACAGGCCGGTCCTTTAGATCATATGATTACTCTTGAGGGCTTACATGTTTCTATCCATGTCTCTAGAAACAGCAAATGTGTGTGAGTGCTGTGGCTGTAGTTTGGGCTTTCCTTTCCCTCCAGTCTAAGCAGAATCCCTGTTTCAGGAGGTGTATGGGGTGTGGTTCTCACCAGTTGCCTGGTTGAAGAATGTGGGGCAGGATGCGGAACAAGGGAGGGAAGGTGTACCCTTTCTAGAGAGCTGGATGTGGCGTTTGTCTTTTAAAGATCAGAGAGTAATGGGAAACAATTATTTTTTAATTAATAAAGCAGGAAGGGTGAAGAAAAGCATTTCACAAGGTTTTACAGCGTGCACACAGAAAATAAAACACTTTATGCTGTGCTTCAATAATTTATCACTTCTTGACAGGGGCTTGGAAAGGGTCCAGTGTGTAAGTAAATCACCAGTTTGCTCTTATAAATGACTTCTTTTAAGGAGAAAATGGATGTCCCTCCAAGTGAAGCGCACATGTTCTCATTTGTTTTGTAGAATACGTGAGGCTGCCGGGTTACCGCTCCCAGCGTTCACTCACATCAGCTGCCTCTGAAAGCAGTTCCGTTGTTACCTCCCACCAGTCTGTAGACCCTCCTTGCTCACTGCTTCCCGACCTCTCCTCCCGACGTCAGTCCTTATCCCCCCTCGCCATTTCCGGTTGAATAGCTCTACAGTAGAGCAGTGTTTTCATCTGTAGAACTGCTTTTAATCAAGATGGACTTTGGGAAATGCTACAGTTTTTATGGTAATAAAGGGCTGTATTATGCACTTGGACTAGTGCAAGTTGTCCCCTGTGTACACGTTCACATGGTAGAACTGTGAAACACTGTAAATGCTAAAATTACTTTTTTCTTAACTGGTTTCCTAGAGGTCAGTGAATGGTTTCCAGTTGGATTGTAGCAAAGACATTTGTTCTAAGGTGAAGAATTTGTCACTGGAGTAAATGCATTCTCCTGTCTCTGGGCCCCAAACCCTAGCTACACTTTCTCTTGGGCTGTGGTAAAGCAGAGTGTTTAGTGGGGAACAAAATTGTGCTGGAATCTGACTTCATATTCTGTTTTGGGTTTTGAGCTGTTCCTTGGCTAATCTTCCAGCTTCATTGAATTGATTCTTCCTTCAGAAGTGTTTATCCCCAAACATAGCTGTTGACAGGTACAAATACAGATGGCAGGCATGTGGTCTGATTTTCATGTTCCTTCTCAGCGTTCAGAGATGGTTCACATCTTGAGCTTCTTGTTCAAGGCAATATGTAGTGTGTGCTAAGGGTTCCTAATTAGGTGACAAATAGTAACAAATGCTTAAGGGATTCCCTGAAGGTCTGGACGCTGCAGCCTTGACTTGCGCATGAGGCTTATCACCCTGGAGGCTGAAATAATCTGCTTCTTAAAAGCAAGCTCTGGGGCAAACTTGATTTTGATAATCACACTGGCTCTCACACTGGGTGACAGAATTCCAGGCCGAGGATCCAGTCTGTTCCTCACTGTGGAATGACATGCATCTATGCACTGATTCTTACTCTCAAAGCAGATGATCTCCAGGACTGTAGTGGGAACAGATCTCAGCCATGCTCTGGCCTTGGAATTCTCTATAGCCAAACTATTAACTACTGTGTTTTGTTTTGGTTTTTTCCCTTCACAAAACTAAATTATCAGTGAAAAGAAGACAAATTGCGGTTTTTCTCTCCTCTGACCTTGCTCAAGGCTCTGCTCAGCAAAATCCACTTGACTGCTTTAGTAAGGTGGCCCCTGAGCACTGCTGAACCAGGCTTCTAAGAATTAGATCTGACTATCCAGCATGGCTTTAATCCCACTGTCTGCTGCCTGTTCTACACAACCATGAATATTTCCATTAACCAATCAGCTGTGACTCTGCACTGGAGTTCATTTGCCCAAGTTGGGGCAAGTGTGGACAGTATGCATCCCATGTGTGCCAGGACATGAGAGAGTCCTAAATGGTGCTTGCTTGTGTTCCTCTCTGCCTGCAGGCACCATGTTTCCCTTAATGTGGTTACACGAATAAGACACTGAAACAGCTTTATTCCTCTTACATCTTCCAGGTCACAGTCCATCGCTGAGGGAAGCCAGGGCAGGAACTCAGTGCAGGGACCTAGAGGCAGAAACGGAACCAGAGAGATAGGAACTGTTTACTGGCTTGCTTTCCCTGCTTCTGCTCAGCTACTTTTTTTTTGGTCTTTTCAAGACAGGTTCTCCCATTAGCCTCAGCTGGACTAGAATGTACTATGTAGACCAGGCTGGCTTCGAACTCAGAGATCTGCCTGCCTCTGCCTCCTGAGTGCTGGGATTAAAGGTGTGAGCCACCATACCCAACTTCAGTGACCTTCTTATACAACCCAGGACCACCTGCCCAGGGGTGACACCCTCTACAGTGGACTAGGCCCTCCTGCAACATTTAATAATCAAGAAAATGCCCCCACAGGGATTGGTGGAAGCAGTTCCTCAATTGAGGTTGCCTCTTGCCTGGTGAGTCAAGTTGATAACCACAATCAGCCACCACAGGAGTTCACTTACAGGTGTGGATGTTTATGGGCTGAAGTACTCCATGGTGTCTTATTAATTGGGCCAAAATTGTGAAAATTATTCTTAAGTGGATTTAATCATCTCAACTATGTTCACACCTTGGTATTTCAAATAAACTCAGAACTAGATAATTCTGAATCTTATTTCCATCTATCGTTTTTCCACAGGCCTGAGTGATTCAACTTCCTGTATTTACATACTTTTTTAACCAACTAGCAAAAGCCAGATTTTCTGGCTTAATGAAACTGCCACACTACTTTGTTGTTGTTGTTGATTTGGATGCCATTTTGATGTATCTGCAGTATTGAAGGATTTTCTTTTCTTAGTAATAGTTTGAGGGTTATAGCCGATAGAAACACAGACATCTTCTAGAACTTCATAAAATCATATGACGCTTGAGCAGTTGGGATGGAGTAGTTTTCAAGTCATACTTTACAAAAATGGTCAAGTCTATATGGATTCCATTTAGGCCAAGCTTTGAAATGGAATGAGTGCTGGTGGGTTTGGCAAAATATACCTATAATTGGGTTAAAGAAAAGTTCAGTTTGTGACAGGTTACATAAAATAATTTTAGAGTGTTTATTACCACAACATGCATACAGTAGTCCAAATCAGTACTCGGTGTTTATATCAGAAGTCCCATTAAAATTGCAACAATGAAGAAAAAGCTAAGAATTTGTAATGTTAGAGTTGAATAGATTATAGGACAGGACAGTGTCTCTGTGTCATAGACAGTCTCCAGATCTTAGAAGTTTGACAGCAGTGATTCTGCATCACATCTACAGGAGCCAGTAGGTAAAGCTCCACTCATTGCAGTCACCTGGGGAGGCAGTGCCTGTTTCCATCTCCACATGAGGACACACAGCTTACTGCCCCTGGAGAAGCATTCTCTAGCCCTTAAGTGCTTTTGCTTAAACTTGACACCAGTCACTTCCACTTCCTATTATTTGCTAAACGAGTTAACGGCCACAGTTTAAAAGTTTTCCCGGAAAGTATAATCCTATTGTGTGTTCGAGAGAAAACCAAAAGTACTGGCAAATGTTGGCAATATCACAGTATGTGTGTCAATCATGCTTCTCCAAGGAAACAGAACTGTGGAAGGAAGGAATTGGCTCATAACTGGAGGCTTGCCAAGTCCTACATCTGCAGGATTGGCCTGCAACTGAGGCTTGCAGTTTGAGCCCAAAGTCAATCTGCTGGGTTTCCCTCTTCCTCCAAGGAGTCAGTCTTCTGTCTAAACCTTCAGCTGGCTGGATGAGGCCTGCCACAGGACAGAGGGTATGCTGTTTCATTGTCTACTACTAAAGTGCTAATCTCATTTAGAAAATACCCCATACAGTAAGAGCTAAGGCAATGTTTGACCAAATATTTGGATATTATATGGCCTAACCCATTAACACAAAATTAGCCATGTGTTAACTGTATCCTGTCTATTATAGAAGCCCTTCACAGTCTTCTGTAAAGCACATAGAAGCAAAACCCAGTTTTCATTGCAGTGAAAAACGAATCCTTTGT